ACAAAAGGACTGCAGAGGCATCATCTTGTGGGGAGCCGTCTGGGAGGCAGGCAGAGCAGGGGCCGGGCCCCAGTGAGTGCGGGTGGGCAGGTCTTATTTCCCTTGTGCAAATGAGGAAGCTGGGCATTCGAAGTCATTTCCCTCTATTCTGATTCTTCCTATCATGCAAATAACACACTAAGTTAAATTTTTGTCACAAAACTCATGGGGAAAAATGAGATCATACATCAAAAATTTTTTTGAAGTGGATCTAATATTCTGAACAAAAGTCTCCCCCTCCTTGCCCCTGGCATGCGACAGGCACCCAGCGGGAACTCAGCAGAAGTCCCACTGCATGAATTCAGTGTGAGAGGTCAGCTGCTATCTTCAGACAGCTGTAAATGAAGTTTGGCCTTTGTGCTTCCTAGGATTCAGTCATCAGATCCAAGAGGTCAGAAGGTTTGTTCCTAGACATGAATCAGGGTTGGTAGCTGGTGTCAGCCTACGTCAAAAGTACGCCCCGTTCCCTCTTCCAATATTTAACAAGGCACAGTGACCTCTGATTTAACTGCCTCTCTCTCTCTCTTAGGTGCAGGCACAGTGCTCTTGATGCCTGGGGTTTTACAGCGTGACTCTTTGTAATTCACAGAGACTGAGAAAAACTGTTTCATATATTACAGGAGGGATTTGGATGTGTCTATCTTAATTTTCAGTAGGATACTCAGTTTGTTGATTCAATGTTTCCCAGAAGTTCAGGAGGTATGGCAGGTGGAGGAGCAGGGAGTGGCAAGGAACTCTTCCCAGCCCCCTTCAAGGTCCTGAATGCAAGAAGAGTCCCACACACACTCCCATTCCTCCCTAGGCTGTGACCAGGGCACGACCCCAGCCTCAAAGAATCCTTAGAAAAGTCTCCAAGAAATACAAGTGCACAGTGTGAAATAAGAATGGGTTAAAATCAGGAACATGAGAATGCCTAAGATATCTAAGTGTGAATGGTATGCCCAGATTGTGCACAACTGTGTACGTCAGGCCTGAGACCATCCACTATCGTGGCTATTCCTCAGCAGTGTGCCTGAAGGCCAAGAAAAGGCAAAGACCAAAAAATAATTTTAAAGGCTCTGTAGAGATTAGAAAGGAATGAACAAACCCTTGTTATACATATATAATATGCTTGTCTACAAAGAAATTCCAAAGGGATCAACTCATAACGTCAAAAGTACGCCCCGTTCCCTCTTCCAATATTTAACAAGGCACAGTGACCTCTGATTTAACTGCCTCTCTCTCTCTCTTAGGTGCAGGCACAGTGCTCTTGATGCCTGGGGTTTTACAGCGTGACTCTTTGTAATTCACAGAGACTGAGAAAAACTGTTTCATATATTACAGGAGGGATTTGGATGTGTCTATCTTAATTTTCAGTAGGATACTCAGTTTGTTGATTCAATGTTTCCCAGAAGTTCAGGAGGTATGGCAGGTGGAGGAGCAGGGAGTGGCAAGGAACTCTTCCCAGCCCCCTTCAAGGTCCTGAATGCAAGAAGAGTCCCACACACACTCCCATTCCTCCCTAGGCTGTGACCAGGGCACGACCCCAGCCTCAAAGAATCCTTAGAAAAGTCTCCAAGAAATACAAGTGCACAGTGTGAAATAAGAATGGGTTAAAATCAGGAACATGAGAATGCCTAAGATATCTAAGTGTGAATGGTATGCCCAGATTGTGCACAACTGTGTACGTCAGGCCTGAGACCATCCACTATCGTGGCTATTCCTCAGCAGTGTGCCTTAAGGCCAAGAAAAGGCAAAGACCAAAAAATAATTTTAAAGGCTCTGTAGAGATTAGAAAGGAATGAACAAACCCTTGTTATACATATATAATATGCTTGTCTACAAAGAAATTCCAAAGGGATCAACTCATAAAGATTTGTAACTATTAAGAGAATTCATTAAGGTGACCATATAAAATGTCAGAACACAAAACAGATTTTCTCTATGTAAGTACAAAATCAATTAGAAACAGTAAAGCTATAGTAAAAATTGGCTCAGGAGTAGGAAACAAATACAAAAGAACAGAGTATCCAACAACAGACATAAAAAAGTGAGAATTTAGTACACGATAGAGGTGACATGTCAGATGAAAACAGAAAGGATGGACTTTGTAATAAATTCTACTGGAATAATTCACAGAAATTCTAGGACTAACAACCTTTTTTTTTAAATGATAAAAGCACTAGAAGAAAATGTGCTAAAATATCATAATCTTGGAGGTTGAGAAGGCTCTCTTAAGCAAGACCTAAAGACCAAAATCCATAAAGGAGAAAATTCAACTACATCAAATAGACAACCACATCAACTACATCAAAAATAAATTCAACTATATTGAAATAATAATAGCAATAACAATAATAACAGCAAGTACTTCTGTTGACTAAAAACATGATATAAATAAAATTAAAAAGAAAAACAGTGACAGACTTAGAATATTTATTATATGCATATCAGAGGATTAGTACCAAGAATAAATATTAAACTCTTACAAATGAGTAGAGGAAAATAACCCAATGAAATGATGAATGGGCAATTAAAACACATACAATGGCCAAGAATTGTATAAAAAGGTGCTCAAACTTACTGGCCATTATGGGTTGCCTTGGGTCCCCCAGTATCTTAGAATGTGACTATATTTGGAGATGGGCCTTTAAAGAGATAATTAAGTTCAACCAGGATTGTTAGAGTAAGCTCTAATCCAATATGACTGGTGTCCTTGTAAGAACAAATTTGGACACGGAGAGACACCAGGGATAAATGCACCCAGAGAAAATAGGAAAGGCCATGTGAGAATACATGGACAGGTAGCCATTTGCAAGTCAGAGAGAGAGGCCTCAAAAGGAAATAAACCTGCTGACAACCCTGATCTTGAACTTCTAGCTTTCAGATCTGTAAGAAAATTAATTTCTATTGTTTTAGCCATCCAGTCTGTGGTACTTTGTTATAGCAACCCTGGCAAACTAATACATTAGTAATCAGGGATATTTAAATACTTTTTAAATGAGTTACTATTTTCACTCACCCAATTAGAAAAGTAATAAAATGTTTAATTAATAGCAAACATCGGGGTGTGAAGGAACAGTAAAGACCATTCTCTACTGGTAGGAGTATAAATTGTTGTAGGCACTGTGAAGGCCCATTTGATAGTATCAAGATAGCAAAATGTACATACTCCATGACGTAGCAATTCAACCTTCTCAGTATCTCCTCTAGAGAAACACTTGCACATAGGCACAGGAAGACATACACAGTTGAGTGTTATGGTGGCATTGTTGGTAAGAATGAAAAATGGGAAACAGCTTAAATAACTATCAAAAAGGAAAAGACTGAGAAAGAGATGTACTCCGTGGAATACTATATAGCAGTTACAATGAATGAGGTAGCATGACATACAGATATGGAAAGTCTCCATATGGATACAGATATGGAGAGTTTGTTGAAGGGAAAAACAGAATGAAAATAATATGACAAGAAATAGTTTATTAGTACATATGAGTATCTGTGAAAGCAAAGGGGACTGTCTGGCAATAAACACACCAAACTGGTTATAGCAATTACGTGTGGCAGAACAGGAGATTAGTGCTGGCAGAGTGGCTAAAGGAGAATTTAACTTTATGTGTACTGCTTTTTCATTTTACAAGGAGTATGTAATTGTGTATTACATTTACAATTTTACAACGCTATAACCTACTGACAATAGTTGACTAAGTTTTGTGGCTACCTGTTATGTTTATTCATTAACAACTGAGAGGCAAGTTCACACATAGCCTGATGCTAGGAGTTGTCAAACTTTTTCTGTAAAGGACCAAATAGTTACTATTTTAGGCTTTGGGGGCTACACTGTCTCATGCAATCACTCAAGTCTGCAGTTGTAGGGCAAAAGCAGATATAGATAATACATAATGAATGAGCATGACTGTGTTCCAATAAAACTTGAATAATAAAAACAGCTGGTGGGCCAGATTTGGCTTGTAAGCCATAATTTGCCAACTGCTGGTTAGACTGAGTTGATTATATAAACTAAAATGTATTTTAAGTAAGTATTTTTGGTGTTTGGAAAAACAACTTTCCTATTTAACCAACTAATAGTATGGCTGACCAACTAAATGGCTTTTGGGGCCTTTCTTAGAATATTTGAGACTCTGTCCATATCATTGGAGACCAAACACCTGTCCCAGCTGAGATAATCCAGTCACCTTGGCCGTCCTGGGGGTAACCACTGAGCTTCCCGGCAGAGCCACGACCATCCATGTGGGAGGGGTGGTGCCTGCCAGGGCTGGCTCGTTGAGGGCTGAGTCTTGACCATCCCCAGAGCAGAGCTGCCCTAAAGCAGAGTGTCGCCGTGGCTCAGCCAGGCCGGGCTGTGATTTGGGGCGGCGGAGGGCTTGGTGGTGCTGGGGACATGTGAGAGAGCCTCGGTTCTGTGGGGCAAGGGGTCTCCCACAGTAAATAAAGGCAGAAAACTCACAGGTCCAAAGCCACCTGAGCCCCAGGGCCGTGCAGGGGTGCGATGGGGCCTCGGAGGGCCCCTCGCTGGGGTGGTGAGGCCCTGTGACTGTCCTGCGGCCGTGTCTCAGCCTCGGTCCCCGGGAGCTGCTGCCACCAACTGAACAGTCGGAGCGGAGCCAGGGCAGAGCTGTCCTCAGCTCCCACAGTCCTGGACGCGGGGTTTTCTGGGTCAGGGGGCTGCGAGAGAGAGAGGAAGCTAACCGTGCCTCTGACCTGCCCAGAACTGAGGCTTCCAGCTGCTCCTCCGGGAGGCGAGCGCAGGACCAGGGGGCATAGGTGCTGGAAGTCCACAGTAAGGGGCTGCCTTCCCGGGCATCTCCGCCCTGAAAATGTGGGGAGCAGCCCACTATACAACCCCTGTGACGCTAGCCTCAAAAGTACACTGTGCTTGTGTTCCCACCTTTCTTCTGCATGGAGCTGGGGGCAATCTGAGCCCTCCTCCACCGCCCCCCACAAAAGAATGAGCACCTTACCTGGGGGACAGGCCGCAGCTCCCAAGTCACGGCAGCGCCTCCTCTTCCCCGTGCGCCAAGAGAGGAGCCAACACCTCAGCTACATTTCAGCCCAGGTCAGACGCCCGCGCGCATCTGGCACTCCTAAGTCCCAAGTCCAATGCTCTGGCAGCAGAGGAACAGATTACCGTATTTCCTCTATGTGCCCCCCAGCTTTTCCTCTCAGATGTCTCCACAGAGGGATGTTACTAGTATCTGCTTTGTCTAATGATTCTGAGCAAAGTCATGCATCTGAGGGTCTCTGGCCTTTACCCACGGGGGCAAAGTTAATTTGAACTTGGATCTCCTGACACTTCTTCCTCTGCCTAAGCCACCTTCCTGGGGAGTGTTACTTGACAGGAATGCGAGTAGAGCACTGGGTTGTGACGGTGAGCGTGAGAAGCAGCATGCTTAGGCAGGACGGCAGGCGCACAGGGAGAGGGAGGGTGTGACCCGAGGGGATGCCAACGCTCACAAGAGTGTGACCTGCAGCTCCCACCGCAGGGCAGATGGCTGACCAGGGGCAGTTAGAATGGCGTGGGAGGGGCCCACGGGCTCTGGAGCAGGCCTGCCAGGAGCCAGCAGCTCCCTGCCCCTCAGCCTGACCCTCCATGTCCCTCCTGTGCCCCGTGGCAGCCGGCTGCCGCTGATCGCTGTTCCAGCTTTCAAGGGAAAGCAGCAGACAAAAGCCAGGAGCAGGGCTTCACAGGATGTTTCTTCTCCTTGCTTTGCTTTAAAGACTGCTTTAGGGCAGATGTGGGCATGGATGAGGTACGTGGTTCTCACAACAGTGAAGCAGGGTCATTGGGAGACGGAGGCTGATGGATCAGGCAGCTGGGGAAGAGAACTAAGGTTTCCAAAAAATCATCGCAGCAGTCTTCATCTGAGTCCTGCTTTACCCTTTTTCCTGATAAAGTGAAATACTAGATTCGGGTCCCAGTGGATGCAACCTCTTTAGTGTGCCCTCAGGCTATATTCTGGGCCTGGCATCACCTTCAGTACCCTGAGAAGCTATGACCAGGGGCCATGACCACAGCCACAGGGAGTGAGAAGGCTAAAGAGGGTTAGGAACTCACCCTAGGAAACTTTTATTTATAAGATTAATAATAGGCCTTTCTGGGACCACAGTAGATTTTTAGGGCAGTGAAAATACCCTTATATAATGGTAGATACATGTCATTATACAGTTATCCAATCCCACAGAATGTACAAGAGCAGGAGTGAACTCTACTGTAAACTATGGGCTTTGGGTGATTTATGATGTGTCAGTGTAGATTCATTCTTTGTAATAAATGTACCCTTCTGGTGAGGGATACTGATAATGGGGGAGGCTGTGCATGCGTTGGGGCAGGGGGTATATGGGAATTCTCTGTACCTTCCTTTCAATTTTGCTGTGAACCTAAAACTACTCTTAAAAAAATGTCTTACAACAAAAAGTAGGCTTTTTTGTAAAGACAGGCATTTCTGTGTCCAGGAAAAGAAGGACTTCTTGCCAGATGTCCTTGGGACATGGGTAAAATACATGGCTTTCATCATCTCTCAAATCCCTCCTGGCATAAAGTCCTGTCCTTATCTGTCTTATAAAAATGGTGAATCATTTACAGCAAAAACAAGGAACTAAGAACAGGTTATAAAATCACTGAGGCAAAGAAACTGTTCTGAGGCTTTTGCAGAGAGATCTTCTGGATCCCTTTTCCTCTGGGTCTCTGCTGCGTCCTTGGGCCAGAGGACAGGAGAAAGGCTGAGCAGCAGACTGCTGGGCCTCTCAGGCCTACAAGTGCAGTTTCAACATCAGGCATGGCTCTTAGCTAAGGGAGCAGCCCGTAGATAGACTCCAGTTACTGGAGAGCATACTGATACCCCAGACAAGGGCCTGAGTCAGCCTCCAGCCCAGCTGGGAAGCAGAAGTTTGAGGGCCCCTGGCCTCCATCCTGCACAGTTCTGATGCAACAACTAGAAATATGGAGCTCCTAAGCCACTTGAAGGGGAAAGCATATCTGATAAGCTAGGGACTTTTCTTTTGTAAATTCATTGAATGTTTTACCTCCCTCCAAAGAATATATTTGAAAAGAAGATCCGAAAGAGTCAGCTAAAGGAGTGATGTTCTAATGGTATAAATTCAGGTGGAGCCCAAGGAAAATGGGTTTATTAACTAGTCAAGCAGTACTTCTCGAAATCTCTTAGGACTGCTCTGGGGTGTGCTCAGGTAGGCCCCCGGAAAGGTGAGGCTCCAATCCCTGGAGGCAATCTTGGAGAAACCCTCTCCCTTTCTGTCCTTGGGTGGAGGCAATAGAAAGGCACCTAGAAGACTAATAGGAACCTTCTCTTTGAAAGCGGACCCATTTTATCACAAGTGGAAACAATGACAAGAATTTTCCCTTCCTAGAAATGGAAGGTTCCAGCAACTGGGAGGAAACCACTAAAATGAGCTTCCCTCGTCCCAGACCTGTAATTGCTCCAAGGCTCCGTCAATCATGCTTGCTGTGGCTGGAGGCCAGGATCTCTTCTCAGAGTCTCAGAAGACTGTTTTCACCCTCACTTTTGAATTACCTTGCAGAATGTGTCTTATTTCCCTTACTAGGTTATAATCTCCCTGAGGGCAGAGACCCTTACCTGTCTTTTACATCATCTCGTACAAAATTCATTTTGTGAGTGTTCGGTTCAATTCAATAATTCTTTTAAGGATGGTCTGTCCTAATACTGCTTAATAGAATCTATTCTTAATAGAGTTCTGCTTTTATTAAAAAGGAGAAAAAATTAGCTCACATCCACCTTAAGAGAATTTCCCTACAGCTCATGCTACCATTAAATGAAGCTCATGCTTACTATTAGTTAAAATAAATGAACTCTCAAATGAGTAAAACCTCTTAAACATTAAAATTTAAGTACATAATGATGACAAATGTCATGATAGAGATAAATTACATTTTGATAGCAAAGAGACAATTGGGTATTCACTATATATGGAATTACCTAAAAACTAAGAAATGATTTGGGATTTTATACAAATAAATCACTGTAATGTATAACAGGGATAGAGGGACTGAGGAAAAGAAGGTAGAATCTGGAGTCTGATAATAGAACTATGCCTCTTTCTAGAAATATTAATATTACAATTACCTTTCTCAACAGCTGTATCTGTTCCTTTACTCCACAATATTATATCAGAGACTCTTGAATAAAATGTAAATTTAGGGGTCAGATGCATACATACCTCTAGCTTGTGAATTGGATCATCTCTTGGGAATATTATGCCTCTTCCATAGGTAGATAGATAACCAAACCCTGATCTAAATATTTACAACTGTTAAGGTTGTTTAGCCAGTCAGCCTCACCAAGCCACTTGCTTAGATTTATTCTGTCTCTGTAAAATGAGAGGTAATACTAATTCCTCGAGTAGAAATTCAGTAACTTCATTCAAGTATTTAAGAGTCTTCATTTAAGTATTTAAGTTTAAAATTGCCAGGTTCTTTTTTATTTGTTTTACTTTAATTTCTTGATTTTATTTTAACATATTTATGCAGGATAATTTATCTGTTCTTGAAATTTTTTATTAGGGTTCTATATATCTATATTTTATATAGATATACTTTATTTGGACATACAGAATTGGCCATTTGTACATTTTAAGTGTACAAATCAGTGGCATTAATTATATTCACAATGTTATACAACTACCAGTACTGTCCATTTCCAGAACCCTTCTATCACCCCAGAAATGCTGTGCGTATTAAACACCTACCTATTGCCCCCTTCTTCTAGCCTCTGTAACCTTTAATCTACTCTCTGCTTCTATTAATTTACCTATTCTAGATAATTCATCTATGTAGAACCTTATATTTGTCCTTTGGTCTGACTTATTTAATTTAGCATAATGTTTTCAAGGTTCATCCATGTTGTAATATGTCTCATAACTTCATTCCTTTGAATGAAGTTGAATAAATGTGGTTGAATAAATATTCCATTTTATGTATATAGTACATTTTGTTTATCCACTCATTTGTTGATGGATACTTAGGTTATTTCTACTTTTGGAGAATAATTTTGGTGAATAATGCAGCTATGAACACTGGTATTCAAATATCTGTTTGAGTCCTTGCTTTCAATTCAAAAGGAAACATAAATAGAAGTGGAATTGTGGTGCCATATGCTGGTTCTATGTTAAACTTCTTGAGAAACTACCAAACTTCTCTTTGCCTTTGCCAATTTGACTATAAAGTGTCTCATTATAGATACCTTTTGAGGTATCCTGATTATAGTTTATTGAACATCCAAGATGTTCACATCACTGATCACATTTGGGATGTTTTCAACCAGATACTTTCTGCCCTTTCTCTCTCTCCTTGTTCTGAAACTCCCATAATGTGCACGTTGGCTGCTTGACGGTATCCTACAGGTCCCTAAGTCTTTGTTCACATCATTCCTTTTTCTTTCTGCTCCTAGACTGTCCTGTCTTTAAGTCCACTAATTCTTTCTTTTGCCTGCTCAAATGTGCTGTGGAACCCTCTATTGAATTCCTCATTCCAGCTATTGTATTTCATAGCTCCATAATTTCTATTTGGTTCCTTTTTATAATTACCATCTCTTTATTGATAGTCTCATTTTGTTCAGACATTGTGTTCCTAGTTTTCTTTTGTTCTTATGCTTGGTCTCCTTTCATTCTTTGAGTATATTTAAAATAGCTGTTTTAAAGTTTTTGTCTGGCAAGTCCAATGTCTTTGCTTCCTCATGGACAGTTTTATCAGCCCATTTTTTTCCTTTGAATGAATCATACTTTCTTGTTTCTTTGATGTTTTGTGGGTTATTTTTTTGTTGAAAATTGGATTTTCAAATATTATAATGTGTCAGGTCTAGAAGTCAGGCACTTCCTTTTCCCCAGAGTTTGCTTACTTGTTGAAGGCTTAACTTGTGTTCAGTTAGGATGTTGACAGAGATTGCCTTGAATTTCAGAAGCTAAACAAAACAAACAAAAACCCTACCTCTCCTACTCTTTATGAAGTGGCTCTGTCCTAGGGCACTCCTTTAATACCATTTGACACTCCCCATTAGCCCTCACTTCCTTCTTGCACTGAGCCTAGAGATCAGCCAGTGGCGAAAGCTTAGGATATTCTCAGGTCTTTTCAAAACATATGTCCTGTCCTGGGCATACATGTTGCCTTCTAAATTTCAAAAGTAGACACAGATGCCTTTGAATTGCCCTAATTTCTCAAAGAACTCTCCCTGGCTTTTCCTCCCTGGCCCTA